ATTATAAAGGCTGAGGACAGATGATGGCTTGAGCTCAAGTGTTCAAGGCTGCAGTGAGCTATGCTCTCACCACTGCATTCCAGCCTGGGTGACAGAGAGAAACCCTGTCTCAAAAAAAAAAAAAGTTTTTTTTTTTGATATTACACAGTTAGATATTTTCAAAACATAATTAAAAAAAAGAAAAGAAATAATTTGATGTAATTTTAAAAGACATAATTTTAAGTAAATTTTAAAAATCTACATGAATATTCCTTGCTGTCATTAGATGGTAAGCATTTAACTGAACTTTGCAGGTGATGGCAGAAACACAGGCTAATAATAAACATGATGGCTTGAAGTAGTAACTCAGTTGATTACTTTAAGATATATTAAAGTTAAGTATGATAAATTTATTTAAATTAAAAGACATATTTAATTTCGTGGACATACTAAGTAAATAAAAAGTACAAACATTGTTCCAGAAATAAAACTGCAACCTTTAATGATCTGACCCGAGGCCTCAACCTGGCTCTCAGTTCTAAAGTCTTTTCGTTCTAAGTGTTTGCTCTAACACTGGATTCATGTGTGTTTTACTCCAAATCCAGATCCCAGGGTGCAATGAGAAGATAAATTGCATATAATCAAAAGGGAAAATACCAAAAACTATGACTAAATTAGAAAAACAACTGGCACGGAAGAGCGTTAGTCAGAACTACTAGTTTTCTAGAAGGTTTTTCTTTTTTTTTTTTAAATTCAAAAACTGAAGTACAGACAGGCGTATTCTGTGTCCTGTGAAGCTGTGAGGCAATTTTAAAGGCCATTCTTTCAGTAGCATCAACATTGGTAACCTCAATGTAACCACATGCTCTGCACAATGAATACTTCAAATTTTCCAAGACAAGTCTGCAGAAAACAGGAAATGGATTCTGCACTCTGCAATTTTTTATTTCTAAGGTTACATTCTTTTAACTTTTCAGACTGTTACTACAGTCTATATCATGTACTGAGTGTTTCCTAGAAAACTAATAAAGTTGAGATCATCTGAATTACTTTTCTATTTTTCTGTTTTTTTGCACACTGGTATGAATCATACTTCTCTAAGCAAATATGTTCCTTAATGTATTACTTTTCTTACTTTGAAAACTCTAAAACTACCTACTCTAATTTATAGTATCACAGAACTTTACTCTGTGTTTATTATACATTTATCCCAATCCTATCACTTTTATTCTACACACAACCCTCATCAGATTGTCACTGTCTTTCTTATCATCTGTGTGGGCATTAGTCATGAGAAGACTGGAAGCTTCTTGGCGTACAAATATCCCAATATTCATAATTATATCGGCTAGATTCCAGCACCATACATGAGATAGGTATTTTATCTGTTGTTTGAAATTGACAGAGCCTTATAAAGCCTTATAAAACCATGACAACACAGTGTCATTAACTATAGTCACCATGCGTACATTACATCACACATATTTTGGCTTGGCACTCTACATGACAATATTTATGAATCATTATGAAGTGCAAGACACAATACAAAGTGTATATTCAATCTTACACAGAGCATTTGGGGACATCTATGTTGCAAAATTTAGAGTTCTATTTATTTGGATTTGAGAATGATAATGTGACATGTATGCCGTTTTAAAGTCACACCTGTTCCAGCACTGGACAGCACCACGTTTTGCCTCCCATATTTCCAGATCAGGTTTTGCCACCAAATGAGTTCAAGTTGTGTCAAGTTTTGCTGCGTAATACAATAATTAAAAATCTTCTAGTTTTAAGAGCTAGTATTTTGGTTTTATTGTTGTTGTTGCTGTTGTTTCAGGATTTTTGTGGAACACACTGTCAGACAAACAGTGATCCAAACAAAGAAGGAAGAGATAGGCATTTCAGGAAAATGACATAAAGCATAAGAAAATAGAGATGAGGGGGGGGGAAAAAAAAAAGAAATACTTCAGAAAAGACATGTAACCCAGAGAGCTGGGAGTATAGATCTTGGGAAGGGGTCAAGTGCATTACAGCTGGAGCAAGGCATCAAGGTTGAATTATAGGAGATATATGTTTTGCTCCTATTTTTTTCCGGCTTTATTGAGATATAATTGACAAAAGTTGTATATGTTTAAGGTATACAACATAATGAGTTAATATGTTTATGTGTTGTGAAGTGATTACCACAATCAAGCTAATTAAAATGCCCATCACTTCACATAGTTACTGGTTTTTTGTGTGTGGTGAGAACACTTGAGATCTACTCTCAGCAAATTTCAACTATACAACACAGTGTCATTAACTATAGTCACCATGCGTACATTATATCACTCGAACCTATTAATCTTATAACTGGAAGTTTATATCCTTTGGTCAATTTCTCCTCATTTTCCCAACTTCCTAGCCCCTGGCAAACACCATTCTACTCTCTGCCTCTGTGAATTCGACATCTTTAGATTCCACATATAAGTGAGACCATATAGTATTTGTCTTTCTGTGTCTACCTTATTTCACTTAGCATAATATTCTCCAGGTTCACCCATGTTGTCACAAGTGGTAAGATTTCCTCTGTTTCATAGCTAATATTGTACTGTGTATATACCACATTTTCTTCATCTATTCATCTGTTGGCAGATACTTTAGTCTGTTTCCATATCTTGGCTATTATGAATATTACTGCGGTGAACATGGGAGTGTGCAGATATCTCTTCAAGTACTGAGATATTTTCCTTTGCATATATACCAAGAAGTGAGACTGCTGGATCATATGGTAGTTCACTTTTTATTTACTTATTTATTTATTTTTTTTTGAGACGGAGTCTCGCTGTGTCTCCCAGGCTGGAGTGCGGTGGCGCGATCTCCACTCACTGCAAGCTCCGCCTCCCGGGTTCACGCCGTTCTCCTGCCTCAGCCTCCCGAGTAGCTGGGACTACAGGCGCCCGCCACCGTGCCCAGCTAATTTTTGTATTTTTAGTAGAGACGGGGTTTCACCGTGTTAGTCAGGATGGTCTTGATCTCCTGACCTCGTGATCCGCCCATCTCGGCGTCCCAAAGTGCTGGGATTACAGGCGTGAGCCACCGCGCCCGGCCAGAGACCCTCTCTCAAAAAACACAAAAAACATAAAAACTAACATGCTCAATTGGAAAAATTTGAAAAAAAAAAGACAATCATAATTAACAATTGTCAACATTCATATTTAGTGTATAAATTATATACACTAAATGAGATTGTGTACATATCTATCCATATCTACACATATGTACATAACGTAACGTAAACAAAATAAATTTTAGTAATGTTGGTTTATATATTTTATAGCCTATTTTTTCAAACAATATTTATAAAATAATTTTATGCATTAAATAGTGTCTAAAATCATAGACTGTAATGATTATGTAAGATTTTACCCTTTGGTTCTATAATAATATTCTCTTATTGCTCGACATTTAGACTACTATTTTGATACTGTTGCTAACATGATTATCTCTAGCTGATTTCTTAGTATTATTGAGATTAAAGTAGGATTACTGGAATAAAATATCCAAATATTAAAACATTTTTGGTATTTATTGTCAAATTGTTTTTTGGAAAAGTTATAACAGCTTAAATTGTCATTAGAGTAAGTTAAGAATGCAGTGTGAATTTAAGTGCTGTTTCTCCTCTACCTTTTCCTATCTCCTCTTTTTCTGTATCACCATATGACATTTGTCATAGTCCTGTTCTTCAATATCTTTGTTTCATAACCTCTGTTTTAAAGGTTCCCTCTCCCCATTCCATGTTTAGCTCTCCTGTCTTAAGTGCTAAATCTCACATCCATATTTCCAATCTGTCATATCTTTCAAGATCAAGTCCCACTTTTCCAATATGTCTGCTATATATATGTGTGCTTGTCCCTACTGACTCTCATCACATCTACAGTTGAATTTTTAACATTATCTCTGCCCCTAGCCTATCCTAGTAACTCAACTCCGCATGTGTTCAGATTTTCTTTTTCTGTAAGCAATCCCATTGTCACTTGAGCACAAACCCCCCACTCTTTGTCTTTTCCTTTATTTCACAAATGCCGACGGTCATCAAGAATGGTTAAATTTTCATTTGCAATATGAATCCAAGGCATGTCTTACTTTGCATATGGCTGCTTCCATGCTAGAACAGGTCTTTATCACCATGGCAATTTTCTTTTAAATACTGTTCCTGCATTTAGACTTTCCTTCCATTAATCTATTCTACTCAATGCTTGCAAACTAATCTACTCAATTTAACATTTTGAGGGTACCACTGTCTTCATCAGAAGTCTTCAATGTCCCCCTGTTGTCTTTTAAGCAATCCCATGTTGCATAATTTGTCATTTATCCATTTGTCCCACCAGTTAGCCATTCAAAATTTATTGAGTGCCTATATGATTCTTTTTCCTTTGGAGAACTGCCATTCAGCTACTGGAGCTACTTGGCGCTTGCTTAAAAACGGTGTGAAGTGCCTGGGAGTTTATATCCCCTTGAGATTTCCACTAACCACTAAGCTTTTGAAAGATACTGACAAAAGCCCCAGATTCATAGTCTGGATTATAATAGCTCTGAAGCTTAGTTTACACTCGGAAGTTTCCCTGTGGCATCAGGCTAAAGGCTGTTCTTGGGCTTTGCACGGCGATCACACTCTTGCCTGACTTCCTTGTCTTCCTTGCCCTACTTCACTAGTTGCCTTATTTATCTACCCTGGAGTCCTTTGTTAATAAATTATTTTTATGTGAATTCTTCTCTTAGGTTCTGCTTCAGGAAAATCCAAAGAAAACCACTTTTGTTAAGAACCAAAGACATGATCACTACTGCGAATGAACTCACACTGAGTCGAAAAACAGACATGCAAGCCAGCAATTTAAATTTTAACATGCTATCTACCATAATAGTGGGATTTGCAAAGTCCTGTGAGATGAGGAAATAATAAATACCTATCTCAGGTAAAGGAAGTCAGACTGGAAAGTCTTCACCTAAAGTAATGTCTGATCTAAAATTCAGAGTTTTTTTTTTTTTAAGGCAGAAATAATAGGTAAACTAGTTATAACAAATAGTGTGGGAAAAAATTTAATGTTATAAGAACACGAAATTCTTCAGGAACTACAAATAACTCAATTTATTATTATTAGAGAAAATATTTGATACAAGGGGGGAGGGAACTCATTCAAATAGGTGAGTAAGATGGCAGAAATGTGAATTCAAAGCATTCTCTGAGTGTTGTAAAAAGAGCTCATCTAGTTTATCTGTCAAAGATGATAAACAATATGGAGAGCCCAGGAGGGCGATGCCTTCAGTTATAGAGTTGTAGCTGTTGCTCTGGCAGCATTGTGGAAGACTGCATGTGGAAGTTGCAAGTAGGGCTAATCTGGAGAAAGAATAATCAGAAATCAAATACCACGGTGAGCACAAAGGGCTGAGAAGAGAGATAATATGAGATATTAGAAGAAGAAATTGGTGGTAGTTGGTGATTGATTAGGTCTGTGGTAAGATTCTAGGCTTTGGATCACCCTGCGAGTCACCAAATCCAATAGAATTTTTTTTGACTCACTTTATCAAGATAGCAGCATTTTCCTTCCTTCTTCAGCTTCCTGTTCAATTGTTTTGCTAACTTTTGTACATTTTCCAAATTATCCATATTGACAATACATTATTTTTTTATTTGCAAAGTGGAGTAGGTGGTAAAAATGAAATCACAGCATACAGACAACTTACTAAAAATTATTGAGTTAATCAGAAAAAGCATGTTGATAACATACATGTGAAAAATGTCCAACCTCAATCATAACTGTTTAAAAAATGATAATTGAAACAATAAGAATATCATAGTAACAAAAATTTTAGTTATAAAACATTCAATTTTGGCAAAGATAAAGGAAAGAAACATGCTAAAGCACTACCTGTGAGACTATAATAGGTCCAAAATTTGAAGAGCCATTACAAATATCTGGCAAATTAAGACACGCACTTCCTTTCATCCGGCAATGGCACCACTAATAATTTACACTAAGAATCAATCTAGATGAATATATATGAGGATGCTTATTACAGTATTATTTATAATAGCAAAAAAGTCCATTAATATAAACTCATTAGCTACACTAGAAAATGACCATTCCATGGAATATTACGCAGATGTTATAAAGAATGTGTTAATATAAATGTGGTCAATAAATATTGCATTACAAAAAGAAGAGCAGAAATTGAGTTTGTAGAGAATAGTTTCATCACCATATGATGAAGATATATGTACACTGAAAATTTCTGAAAGGATCCATCCCAAACTGCTAACATTATTTACCTATGGGGCTTGAAAATGATGGAGATTTGCTCTTGTCATTTATTTTTTTCCCCAGGAACAACAGTAATTTGGCCATAAAATTAATGAAAAGAAAGGGGCATTAACAAGATCATTGAGGGACAATGTTTAGTTTTTGTATGTTTGTGGAAGGAGGAGATGAGAAATTAAAACTTTATATAATTCTGTTGGAAAAAAATAAAAATAAAATCCTTATAGTCACAACTCTAAGAAAGGAAAGGTACTTACAGATAGGAAAATAGAGGCTAATCCCACATCCTATGTCAAATCAAGGACTACGATTCAGCTCTCCTGACCCTTGCCCCAGTGCACTTTCTATGATCCTAAGCAATAGTATATCTATGCCTAGAAAATCAAGCCAACTGAGGTGGAAAAGATCTCAGCCATTATTTCTGTCTTCTCTGAATATACAGGATTGATTTTGAGTTCATACATAAATAAGAAATGTTGAAGGGTTTTCCATGGAACACTAAAGTTCCACTGTATTCTGAACCAGAATTTCTTAATTCAATACCATTGCTCTAAAAGGATGCTTTCTCAAGCACTGAAAAATATGGTTCCATTTATATCCCTAATTTAAGGGAAGAGACATTTTGAATTGGAGGCAAATAATCTATGTTGTAACACTTCAAAGCTAGGTCAGGAAGCTTATGCCAAATGCCTTATGTGTGCTTGTGATTTCTGTATTCTGACCATGAATGTATTTCACACTTAAGCTGACATGTCTCCAATAATTTTCTTCCTGAGTATGGTATAAATGAAATATTAGCACATATTATCTCAGCACCCCACCAACTGATCAGTTTATTGCTATAAAGTGCAAATGCCCAATCATATAAAATTCCAAGCATTGCTCTGCTGAAAATGAGAAGGCATCACTAAAATGTGAGTGGAAAGAATATTATGTGCTTCCCTTTTCTATACGTTAGATTGCTTCACATTGAAAAAGTAAATTCACTCTGGGAGGCCGAGGCAGGCGGATCACAAGGTCAAGAGATAGAGACCATCTTGGCCAACATGGTGAAACCCTGTCTCTACTAAAAATACAAAAATTAGCTGGGTGTGGTGACATACGCCTGTAGTCCCAGCTACTCAGGAGGCTGAGGCAGGAGAATCGTTTGAACCCGGGAAGCAGAGGTTGCAGTGAGCTGAGATCATAAATAGGCTGCACTCCAGCCTGGCGATGGAAAGACCCTCTGTCTCAAAAAAATTAAAAAAACAAAAAACAAAAAACAAAAAATAAGTTAAATAATATACTAACCAAAAACTTGTAAATTACTTTATCCATCTACTTTTAGGAAATTACAAAGAACAAATTTCATTATTTTAGCATAACAGGGATGGATTTTCTTTTGTAATTTTCAATATATTAACAATACATTTTTTTCCCCTAGTGTTGTTTAGGATACTTCCTGCAATGCTTCATTCAAGTTATCAGTGATTTTTACTATGTATTGTAAATGATACATGGCCACCATATATAAATATTTGCTGAGTTCAAGATTACTAAGTTAAGAAACTGGGGTAAATACAGGAGGTGGAGCTTGCAGTGAGGCAAGATCGAGCCACTGCACTCCA